AGGGGTGTGGCGATGTCCATGCAGTAGGAATTCACCGGAATGTCCTGAGGTAAAATCACGGTTCGAGATGTCACCGTGACGTTACTCAAGGCATCGTACATGTTGGACGTGATCCAAGAGGACTTGGAGTTCCCGTCATCCTAGCGGGTGCGTTTCAAGGGTTTGCGTGGTTTCTCGAAATCATCCACTTCCATGCCGTCGACCATGGATTGGAATACCTCCGTGGACGACTGCGTGGAAGACCCCTCCCCCACACGCACGGGCTCCTCGGGAGCAAAGTCCTCTAGCATTGGTTCGTCCGGGACGATGGGTGGGGTTGTAGTTGAGGTCTCCGAGGGTTCGCTTTGTCGGGCAGGAGGTGCTGTTGGGGTGACAGCACTCACCTTCGGACGTTTGTTGCCTCCTGTATGCGTGTTGGAGTCCGGGCTTGTTGTGGGTTCAACTAGAAATTTATCCAAGTCGAGGACGTGGGGCGACCGGCGTCCAGGACGAGATGGGGCAGGTTGAAAGTCCTTGACATACACGCCATAATGTATGCCATGCAGGATGATTTGGTCCACCGTGTGACCATGCACAGACAAAGTCGGAGGTTGGAGGGGCGTGTTAAAGTAAACCCGCCAGATATTGGGGTGTGCACAGGAACTGTCGTGCTGCGACGAGTACGTGAGCTTGTAGCTGATGAAGATCGGGTTCGTTTGTTTCGATCGAAAACGTGGTGGTTCCAATACGCTTGCGGTAAGGGAGAGATGCCTCAATCGCTTGGAACATTTCCTCGTCAGTCGTCGCTTCGTCCGAGGCAAGCTCCATGAGCTTGGCCAAGTTGGTTCGCGTGGGTCGGGACAAGGTCGCCTTGACGGTGCCACTGGGAAGGTGGCTACCACCGCGGCCGAGTACACTGGCGTAGGTGTTACGTGGCGCCGTCGGCGGTGCACCAGGCAGCGGGTCGCTGAGGTCCACCACACGTCGAGCCGGTGTCGACGGCGTGGCCTGCAAAGGTGATTGTCTGGGCTCAGAACCCACAGTTCTGATTGGCTGTTGACTGGGTGGCGAGCCATCTCCTGCCTCGCGGGAGATGGGTGGTTGGTGCCGAGACTCGACAGCGCGAGGATCAGCCGCACCGACCAGCGTCGGCGGCGAGCCAAGCAGGACAGCCTCAGCTGGGTCGTCTTCCCCGGCGTCACGAGCGACGGGGTCGA